GGCCTTGGCCCCAAGCTCCCTCCAAAGCTCCTCCGCCGGCCGGCTCAGGGAGAGACCGCTGGCATCTTCAACAACGGGGCCGGAGGAAGAACAGTCTCGCCCCCTCTTCGGCTTCTTCTCTGGGGCCCTCTCGCCCCCCTTCTTGGGAACCACCTTCGTTGTGACGACCGGCGGGGGGAGAGCAGATTCAGCATGATGGGGTATGGCCCCCTCATTCAGAAGGGTGGCAATCAGATGCTGCTCACCATCTGCAGTCCGACGGGCGGCGTCAGAAGCCGATGATCCGGCGCCATGGGCGGCGGCCTCCCTGACCGCTTTTGCCGCAGCCATCTTCGCCTTCCTGTTCCTCAGGCACTCGGCGTTGTCCATTCGGTCGGCGGTAAGAGGAAGACCTGCAAGAGAGAAATACAAGGATATGAAAAGACGAACAGAGATAAGGGAGGAACACCCACCTCAGAGGACAGGACCGCCCGTGCCCCGAGACGAGCGTCCAAGGGGGGAAGGAATCCAGGAGCACGGGCGGTACCTATGCCTGCTTCAGAGAGTGCCTCGGGGGTCAGGTATTCTCCTATGGGGCGAATGCCGCCTTCCAGGACTTTGTTAACTTCCGCCTCCAGCTCGTCCGTCAGCACCGGCGACTCGATCTTCGGGGGGTAACCATTCCAGCGGATTGGGAGGGGAGGACCATCATATCTGAGGAAGAAGAGCCTATTTTTCCAATCATGGATGGAGGAAGGATAGTGCTCGAACAGCTTCCTCTTCGGACGAGCGGCCACACTCAGATAACCGTCGGAATTCTGCGGGGTAACCCGGTAAAAGTAGTGAAACAGATCCAGGGATACATCGGCTTCCGCGGACGAGCAGCGCACGAGGAATGCGGAGATAAACCTATAGGAGTTGGGCATGAACTGCGCCGGGACCGCCTGGTAGCAGTTGAAGAACTCCACGTAAAAGGGGTGGAGGGGAAACCGCAGACCGGCCTCTACGGAATCCACATGCAGGATGATCATCCCCGCCCGTCGCCGCATGGCATGTTCAGCCCCGCTATGGCTAAAGACGAACGGATGGGGGAAGAAGGAAGCAATCTTGTTCATGGCAACGCTAGAGAGGGACTGTCGGTGCTCTAAAACACTCTTAATCTTGCAGATGTGCCTCTGCACGTCCATGGGGATACCTAAATCGTGCACCTCCAGATCAGAGCCAGATTGAGCCTCATCTGCGGAATCATACCCGGCCGCACGTTCATTCAGGGGCACTGCCTCGATGGCACCTTCGGGAATGTCGGCGCCTTGCTCACCATCGACATGGATGGTCCCTACGGTGGACGCCGAACCTGGGTTGCCGGAAACACTGGTTTTTCCGGAGGAACGGGAGCCAGAATTGGAGGAGGAATCAGGGCCGGAGCCCGAAGAACCAGAACTCGAACTTGAAGAGATCTCCATCGAAGTCATTACTAAAAGAAAGGGCAAGGATGAAGAGGAATAATTACCTTTAAAAAACTGGAAGATGGACTCGGGGAGCTGCGATGAAAAACTCGAAGAGCGGCAAGAGAACTCGAGAGCAAAAGCCAGAAATCGGAAACCCTAGACATCAGGGGATTTCTGGTATTTATAGTGGAGGCACCCCCGGGGGGACGAATGAAGAAGCGACACGTGGCGAGGAGCGTACCCTGGCGGGAATCCAACCTGGGGAAGCGATACGCGTAATGATGACTTCCCATCGGGAGTCGCACCGTCTCGCCGCCAGCCGCCACCTCGATCCACCCGCGGTCGCCCAACTCGGGGTGCCCTTCGATCAGGTACGTCCAGTTCCCCGTGGACAAGTACGGAAGACGGGCATCCTCCAGGAGGCACAGCATACTTCCTTATGTCCCACGCACGCTTGGAACATCAGAAGTGGGGGACTTGTGTTGGGTAAATAGCCCCGAACAGGAGTCCGGCCCAATTACCCCCGAACCGACGTACGTCGCCCAGCCCGCGGATGGCCCTGGCCTGAAGGAATGGGGACGAATGTCTATCTCCGGGGTAACAGCACAAGGTCCCGGCCAAGGGTCGGTTAGCACATCCGTGACGAACGTCGTCAGACGAGGCCCATCTCCGTAGATGGCCCAGGCCCCAAAAGATTGTTACGTTCTCAGGAAGGGCCGCAGACGAACGGCCCCCGGTTCTACCAGACGATCGTGGTCAGGAATTAGGCGGGGAACCCAGATTCTGGCGGGAAGCGCATTTAATGCTGGAGATTTGGTGGTTGGGCCACAGCCACTAACAATCCTCCACATCATCAGGACTAACTGCCCATTGGCGGGTATAAATAGTAGCATTTATTTCATTGTAAGGGGTTGGCAACTTTCTATTCTTAGCATACTAGCTTCAGCATTCTTACTTGCAGCATTTCTAAGTGCCTCGTAAGACGAACGGCCGACGTGCCTTTTTAGCAAGTAGATTGTACTTAGGGGAGTTATTACGAAGTTAATAATACCTACTTACATTGCCTGCTATTACTTTTGTTTCCTGATCCATCTGATAGTTGTTGGGCTAGATATCCACACACTCACTCCACTCGAAATCTTTGGGCTTACGTGTTGGGTCCAAGGGTTGAAGGAATAAACCTCAACAACGGGTAAATAAAAATTTGATTATGGATGATTCCTGAACGCTTCTGCTCCACGTGTCTCCAAGTTTGCTGTGCGCACCCATTCTTTTTCAAATTTGGACAAATTTGTCCGTGATCAATTGCTCACCCACTTCTACTAGAATAGGCGCATCACCTACGTACGTGATTAACCAAATGATTTTTAAATTTTTCGGGCCTTATTGCTTTTTTGTTTAAAAACAAAAATAAGTTATAATGTCTTGCTTTTTTATAACCAAGACATTTATTCTCCCACCAAAAAGTTGCTGCCATGTGGCCAATTTTCTCTGTTTTATAAAATGTTATAACTTTTTCAATTTTGCTCCTATTTTTATAAAAACTATATCAAACTAAATAATTTTTTTTATCTTTATATTTACTACATAATATTTTTTTAAATCTAGTCTAGTCTAATCTGATCTAATTTGTTTGAATCTGTCTGAATTGAAATCAATTCAATTAAAAACATTCTAAATATCATTTGCATCCTAAATCTAGCCATGTAACATATATGGTCGTAATGCAGAATCAACATGGTGCCGATCGAGTTTTAAAAGGCGAGGCCTTCAACCTTTGAAATTAGTCAAACAAATAAAAAATGAACATAATTATTTTACTAAGATTAAAAAGTTATTCAAATATATAACCCAATATAGAATTGGGCAAAGTTAAAAACAAATCTTTTATGTTTTTATAATATATAAAATTAATATCAATCATCCAATACAATTGTAAGAGGTTCTCTAACAATATTACGACATTCTATAAACTGTTTAATTCGATGAAGAAGTGGTATATCCCATCCTGTAACACTAGCGTCGTGACTCGTGATAGTAAGACCATGTTGTAAACACTTGTGGCAACGGAGCATTGTCGTCAAGCCAAATCTGTGCATCTATCAACATAAGTTTTCATTTTATGGATATCATATGGTAATGTGAAATCAAAATGGAAATATAAAATATTGTTTTCTTACAGCTACGTAGTGTTGTTGGGATTGAAGCCGAGCAATGCAAAAAATTGTCTTCTGAAGACTACTTCCAGGAGGAGCAATCATGGGCAAACAAGTGATTGGTTCGTGGAGGTCAAGATGCACTAAAATAACTTGGTATAACGTTGCGAATATCAACCCTGTGTGAAACATGTGTATCCATATATGTTACATGACTAGATTTAGGATGCGAATGATATTTAGAATAATGTTATTAATTGAACTGATTTCGATCCAGACAGATTCAAACAAATTAGATCAAATCAAACTAGATTAGATTTAAAAAATACTACGTAGTCCGTAGTAAATATACATCAATCGACCGTTCAATAGACCTGACCAATTTTTTTCACATATATGATATTGGTGTCATATAAAAGATCATTGATGGAATTTAATCCAACTACGAGAGTTAAATATACGTAAAGTATAGAAATAATATTGAAAACAATATGGCAGCGTAAGGCAGTATTACTCTTATTCTGGAAATCCAATTCTCGATCCCTTGATAGGGTATTTACATGGAGTATTTATAGAGATTAAGAAGTAGAATTATGGGTGTTAGCTTGCCGTTCCAATTCATGATGCAATAATACCCAAACATGACTTATTAATAATTACATCATGAATATATAGACAAACTTTATCGCGTATTGATTTGTTGTTGAACCCCCTATTTTTAGTCATGATCAACTTTAAATGATTGTATCAAGAGTAGTCAATCATCGACCGTTAAAAATCACACTGTAAACGATCACAGAGGAACGAACGTTGAAACTAAAAAAGTTTTCTATAAAGTCTTTCATAACATTTAGATTCATGTAATGTATTTTGAAATCATATTCATGCTACATGCTACTATATATTTTGTTGGGTTATAAAAATTTGTATTATACTCCGTAATCATTGATAAATGATATCGAATATGTTTCCGTTGGGTTAATGGCCCAACCAGGGATCGGCCCATTAATCCCTTAACCAAGATCATCAAAGCCCGTCGAGAGAAAGGCCCAAAGATGCTCTTCATTAGACTACACAACCCATAAAGGACAGTTGACCATGATGGACCTAAGTGCCATAAGACGATCGACTGACCCAACAAGACGGTCAGTCCCTATGACCTTAGCCCACCAATGCACCAAGTGATCGGTAAGCGCCCACGGCCAGATGATTAGCAGGAGACGTAAGGAGCCCAGCCCTTACACCACCAAGGCAAGGGCCCAGGATCATGAAAAAGTTCATCCACAGACCTTGACGGGAAACCAAGATATTGGCAGGAGACACATTTAATGCTGAAGATTTGGTGATTGAGAATACAGCCATCCACAACAATCCACGTCAGGGAATCTACCTATCCCTTAGTAGTATAAATAGTAGCATTTATTTCATTATAAAGGATTGACAACTTGTTCTCCATAACTTTTAGCAATATTCTCAGCTCCTTCACAGAGCTAGACGAACAGGCATAATACCCACATAATACCCACATTCAGTTCATCTCAGGTACATGTTCATCTTTTAGCACGCTGCTAAAAATGAGCCATATGACCGGAGCCTCTTTTTTTACCAATTTGGTATTCCAGCCTATTTATGTTTCCATGGCCAACATACGAAAACAGTCGATGGAAAATGATATCTGGTGCCAAAATAAGAATAATCCAGCCTAAAAAAATAAATGAAGGCATCCGCCACCAGATGCAGTGTGAACTCTGGAAATTGGCGAGTTATTCAGTACATTGAAAGAAGAAGAGCAGGCACACTCTACTGTGTTTCTTCTTTTATATTGAAGAGCAGATCCATTCATTTCCTCACCTGTTTGAGCAGAAAACCCTTTTTTTCTTGATGAAGAAAACAAAAAACATAGCAGTTCAGGCCTCAGGAGACATTATCCAGGAGCAAGTTGATCTTCACCTACGGCTGCACCTTTCGCCAGCTTCTTCTTCTTCGGCTTCCGGATTCCCTGTTTTTTCTTCATCCTCTTGACATGCTTTTCCCACTCCCTCCTGTGTTTTAAGTAAAGCAACATAGCAGCACGTGCATCTTCCACCTGAAATAAAAGCAGGGGCAAAAATAACAATTCTAATATTGAAATGTTTTTAATAGTAGAAAGTTTTATAGCATGTGCTCCTTCTCCCGCTCCTTCCCCCCATCTATACACGCACACACACATAAATGTGAAAGACAAACCGGACAATGCTCTCCATTTTGTATATCTGCTCCTAGAATTTCGGCTGCAAGACTCCTAAGTGCACGACTACGTCCTTCTCTGCTTATAAACAAACAAACAAACATATTAAAAAAATGACCCACATGCTCAATCCTTTTGGTGTATTAGATTTTCTGCTCGTTTGCAAGATTGGACGCATACAAAAATGGAAAAATGAAAAGCACAATAAAACATTAGATAAGATTTTTTGCTCAGTGTAAGCAAGTGCCAAACAGCCAACCCTTTCTCCAGCACAGAAAACTGCACAGAAAACTGCTCTTTACAGCTGAGGATCGCCAACAACTAGAACAAGAGGCAAGATAGTCAAAGTCATGAGGCGCACTCAAGGCGCTAGAGGACTCAAATCACCAGAGGAGCAAGGAGCAGAAAAGAGCTCGCCTGACTCAGGCGCCCCATCTATATACTACTCCCTCCGTCCCATTAGACTTTGCCAACTTTCTCTTTTTTGTTGTCCCAAAAAACTTTGCCACTTTCCTATTAAAGCAACTAATTTGTGGTTCTGCACATTTCTCTCTCCTCTGCACAAATCTCAACCACACAGTTTTTACTATTCTTATTTCTCACCTACTTTGCACTTGGCAAATTCCATCGGGACGAAGGTAGTATAAAATATAGACCATAGTTATAACTTTAAAAATATAAAACAAGTTAGCACTCTTCTGCCATTGTTGATGGGCTGGGCCGTCCAATCCACAGGCCTAGTACCATTCGGCCAGCCCGGCTAGATATTGTTGGGCCAATATCCCAAAAATAACAATAAAAATAAGAAATAATTCCAAATACATAACCAAAATATAAGTATTGGACAAAAATGTGACTTTTGTAACTTAAGTGACTACAGTTGTATTCAAATGTTACATCATAGTGACTATAAACTTACACATAGTAACTTATAGTCACTTTTTTGTCCACAAGCTTTTTATTAGTAATATTTTAGGAAAAACCTCTAAAAATAATCATTGAATGAGTAAATCCCTTTCCTTTTGGTCCTTTAAATGTGTTCCTGATTCTGCAATCTAATCCCCGTTGTCAAGTAATTGAGTCCCTCAATTAACTAAAAAGTGGTCGATTCAACCCCTCACACCCTCCTTATTTTGGCATCATCTTTGACAAGATATTGGCGAAGGTTACACAGGCTTCTTTCTATTGAAATGGATGAGATACCCAAGTACGATGAGTCCATTGTTAGGACGTAAGGGTTAGTTGACCACTTACCAAATATTGAGAGTCAGGATCACATCAAATTGCAGACTCCGGAACTGTTAAAAAACCCAAACAAAGATTTTCGCATAGTTTTACTCTTAAGGGTGTATTTGGATCAAGGACAATGCTAGGGAAAAGAAACTTATTCTAAAGAAACTTTCTTAAGTTAGGTTTTACCTTAAAAACGATGAACAATGACATTCTAAAATATACTCGTAAAATAGAAACAAATAAATATGGGTCTGAAAGAACATCTAAAACAAATGAAAAAATTCCCACAATTGGAACAAAACATAACTAAAATGAAAAAAATAGGAGTTAATGTTTTAAAATTCTCTAAATAGGAGTAATACTTTGTGGTTGGACAAAAACCCCGTGTAGGGTTTGAAGCTATTAACCACTGTCACCGGACAGCTTCCGCCGGCCCCCGTGCCGTTGGATTGCCACCGCCTCTGGTCGCCAAACAACTGCCGCCGGCAGACTTCTGCCGCTGCTAGCAGCCACCACCCTAAACTCCAATCCTGAAGACTAAACCGCTAGGGTATTTTTGTCTACACAAGATATATTACACCTATTTAGGGAATTTAAATCATGAACTCCTATTTTTGAACTTTCCTTATGTTTTGCTCCTATTTTAGGCAATGTCTTAAAATAAATGTATTGAGATTGAGCCAATCTTTATTTTTCCCATTTTTTCCCCTTCCAGTTCTTTCCTGTTTTTCATGAGTGTTTTCTTTCCTTCTAATTTTCAAGGTTCCAAACAGACCCAAAAGGAACAGTATAGGAAAAAGGCAGTAGAGAAAGATTACTTTAGGAAAGGTTGATACTCGGAAGTATCACGCACATCATTCTTTGGGTGACTTAACAGCAAAGCCTACATGGAAAATAAACAATATTCAAGATTGCACAGCACTTGCTGCTGAACCAAACTCAGTGTGTAAAACTCATAGGACTAACTTTCAGATCATTGTGCAGAGCATGGCCAACAAGAATTCTTCCTTTAGTCAGCTCAGCAACTTTCTTCTGAACGGCATTGAAATTCTTTGCTGCAGAAAATGTTGGCTTTAAGTTTATCATTTGTAAAGTTCCTAACTTTCTTCATAGGACAGCGCACACACAGCCACATATATAAACATATAAAATCAAAGAAATGATCATAAGTTGATGTGCTGAAGCTTGGGTCGAACAATAATAGAATATTAAAACCAAAAAAGCTATGAGCAGAAAAACAATCACGGAATGCTATGGAATTGAGTAGTATATAGTTCAAGTGATTAATATCAGAGACTATGGAAAATAAAAATTTGTGTGTGTGAATAATGTGATTATTATTTTATTTAATTATTAATTATTCACATATTTCTGCACTTATTTTATTTTTTTTAGAAATAAATATTATTCAAAATTAATGCTATCGTCTACATAACCTATAGAAATAAGGTTATCATAATACCTTGAATATAACCTAAACTCGTACATGGTGATAATGTGAGATTATGAGGGTTATTGCAGAGCTTGAACCACACAAGGTTGGCTAAATTTTACCAAAACTACAGAATGTGGGGTATATGATATACTACGTACAAGATTTAAGATCAAATACATATAGTCCTTCCCACGAAAAATAGGAATAAATCTGGAGCATCGGATTTAGGATCTAATGACTCTAAATAGTTAATATATAAAAAATGCATTAAAGTGGATGAAAAACGTGGTAGCATTTTCGTAAATAAATCAAAGTTTTTCTTCTTACCAAAAAGTGGACTTCCAGCGTGCAATAGTGTACCATAAAGGACCAAAAGTGGATGGCGGAAAATTTCTCAATGCAATAGTGCAACTCGGATGCTCAAAAGTGGATGCGTTCACATTTTGTATTTTAAGACTACTTTTTATTGGAACTGGACCTGATATATAATACCAACAAATGGCCCCTTATGTGATAAGCATTAGAGATGTTATGGATATGGAGATATAGTCGCTTTCCTAACCTGTTAGCTTACCGCAGTTTTTTAATAAGTAACTTGCTTCATTACAGTACAAAAGTATCATCACTTTTCAACTCATTATGAATTTTATAAGTTGTTCTGTTTTTTTATGCTAAAATATCTAAAAAGGCTCAACCTTTCTTTAAGTGGTGAGGTCTGATTCCACTTATTTTGGTGCGGAAATCAACAACATATTCCATTGGCCGGACATATTCATCATATATAACATTTCCCCATCTGTTTACCTGTCCTGACACATGTAATTGAAAATAAAACAAGCAAGCATGATTAGAATAAAAAAATTATTTAAAAAGCATTGTTCTAAACTTTTGTATAATTGTCTTTTTGGTAATGGAAATGGCTCCTACATACTTCCTAAAAGTTACTACGTATAATATTTGTTGTAAAATAATGAATAGTTCAAAACTTCCAAGAATGTGTTCTTTTGTTATAAGATATGATAAAAACTAAAAAACAATGACTCTATTAAGAACACAAAAACTGGCCCCAGTCCAAGCTTTATAGCTTGGTTGTCTCGGGTGTGTAAGCCACCAGTTTGGGGTAATTGATAAGAACAGAAAAATAAAAATAAAAATCAACAGGGTGAACCGTTGCCCAGATAATCAACGATAAATAAATACCGTTACCCAGAGCCAAAAGGTTAAACCAACTTTTATTCCAAGATAATCAGAATGAACCCTGGCAAGGGGTATAAATAGCCTTCTACAAGCAACCCTAATCAAGCCCAAATTAATTAAATCCTAATTAGGCCCATACTAACTCTACTAAGTACTCTACTAATAATAGGCCCAAACTAGAAAACATAACATAAACTATATAACCACCAGCCCACAGAGGTGGGCCCAAGCCCGTTCCCGCCCCTTGATCTCTCTGCTCTCTATCAATTCATCCTCCTTCGAAACAACCTAGTCCTCAAGGTTGGAATCCGAAAACTGCCTCACAGAGCTCTCTTTAATCCTAGGATCTGATTTAAATGGATTGTTTTCTCTTTCTTTGCGCAGAAGAGGCACTTCTTCAGCTCTTACACCAAAAAGGAAAAAATTATTTTCCCCAATTTTCTCTTTGATTTCCATATTAGCCCCGTCCAGTGTTCCTATGATTAGGCACCCATTCAGTTCAAATTTCATATTGTTATTCCACCTGGCCTCTAGCAGTACAACCTTTGAGGGGAATGAGGACCAATCAAGCCTACCCTTCCCATCATTCCTCTCCTTAAATCTGTATATGGTATCCTGAAGTGGCGCACCACTTAGCAAAATTTGTTGTTTAAGACTTAAAAGTTTTCCACTTTCTGTTGCATCGCCGGGATCAAAGACACCACAAATATGGTGAGCACTAGAGTGAAACTGTGCAGCAGATTCATATTGATCACCGTTAACTTGAAATAAGTTTATGTCCTCTGCACTAGCTTTGGCCTGCCAAAGTCTTGCAACTTCCCAGGGACTGAATTTATCAAGCCAACCTTCAGTAACTTCCTCTTGTCCAGCTTCTATAATACGTTGCTTGTGCACTCCAAACTTGTACCTCAATCCATAAACCCATGCTAGTGAATCTAGGGTTGCCATGGAATCAAGAAAGCAAGAAGCAAGCCTTCCCGTTCCACAACTTCCTAGTGCTGCATCTTTTTCTTGCCCAGCAATCTCCTCAGGTTTGCACGCAGATGTTGTTGACGCAGAATCTGGTGACGCGGCTGCCGATGAGTGCCCTTCTGCCGTCGGCGGCATAGAAGTCTTTATGAGCGCAGCCAAGGAGGAAGTGACGCTGCGCGGCTGTCTGTCGCTGCCGTGCGTAGATACCGTGGGGCTGCCAACCGTGTCCGGGCTTGTTTCCGTCATGACTGGCAGAACAAACGCCTTGGTAAGCGCTGCCAGGGAAGCGGCGATCTCTGCCAGGCGCATGCCGTGCTCCTCTAGGGTCGACAACTTCGAATGGTTCTCAAGCATCCTCTAGGTCGCCTGCAACGCAATTCTCGCAGCAAGCCGCGCATCCTTTCCTGCGTCTCGACCAGCGTAGTTCTCATGTCCTTCAAATGGTGTTCTATATCGTTCATACTCTTCTCCATTAGCAGCGTACATGATTCCTCCATCTTCTCCATTCACGATTCAGATAGACAGGAGCGAGTTCTCTGATACCAAAGATAGTGTCTCAACCAAAGCAGCATAAAATAATAGTTTATTGATGACGCAGAGTTACAATGGCGGAAATCCTAAGAAAGAGAAGAAACATGCCGATTGACATACTTAGAGCAGTCTCCCTCTCCCAAGCCCAGTCCCCATTTCTAACTTCTGTCTGCCTTATTCTACTCGCCAACTCCTATTTATTCTTTTCCATTTAGGCTAGCCCACTATTATGATAACGATGAAGAGAGAGAAGCTCCCTCATCTCTCTAAAATTCCAGAAACTTCTTGAATACGGGAAATGGACCTCCGGCAGCCACACCCACGCCGGAACACTCATCACCCATTCAATGAAATCTGCCAACACACTGACTGGGATTCTTCTAGCTACATACAACGCTACTGCTGCAGGGACTCCCAACCGGCAAAATACCATCTCCCAATTCTTCAATGGTATCATCATCCCCAAACCAAAAATCAGGTACGAAGACCCCAAAGAACCAGACCTGGGAATCAACATCACTATCGCAATAGTCATACATACGACTATTCTCTGGAACCGACATTGAGGGAACGACCGGAACGGGTGACGCCCTCCTCGGGACGCCGCCAGCTACATCACCTGGAACAGGCCAACGGCATATCTGCTCCCTTCATCTTCAAAGACGACAAAGACTCCTCTTGGCACACAGTTCACAATAGGCGAAGGCCTTTCAACCCTCATCTCAATCAGCACTTATCAATACATCATCGGTCCTCTCCAGAAATCACATGGTCAGTAAGAAACTCAAATCTATTCGTATTATTAGATATGGAAGACAAACCCACATATTTTCCCCAATACTCACTCGCAACTGACCATGACAAGTATTTCCCCAACAATTTCAAACGCTGAATACCTAGATCGAAAAGAGACGGCCGAAATCGCCGGTATGGGAATCAAGGTCGAACCCACTCTGCCATCCCAACCTCTAATGAGATCGGTGACATTGAGAGGAGACCACCAATCTCTCCGCTAGTATCTTCACCATCGCCGGAAAGCTTGATGGCACAATTTCACACAGCCTTTCAGATTAGACGACTTTAGCAGTCAACTACCAGTGGTCAACAGTCTGGTAAGACTCCCACGGGCGCGGAGAAGTCTTGCTCGGAACCAGTTCCGCCTGTCACAAATATTACCAGAAGATAAGAAACTGGGAAGAACTAAGAACTAGAATTGCTGAAAGAACTGAGATGCCTTCCTCAGCTGTATATTCACACTTATATAGGCAAAAACTAAATACATTTACAAGGAAACAAATCAGGAGATCCTTGCCATTAATGCAAGATATCCTGCACTTAAAACCTAACAATAACTTCCCAAAATTACATACTTTCAAATAAAGTAATAATACTAATTTAACAGATTCTCTGATTGACAGCCGGAATCCAAGAACCCAATGCGGCTATTTCGGTAGGGCTTTCTGCGAAAGATGCCAGCTACGGACGTCAATCAGCGAGCCAAATCCAGCCAAATATCACATGGGCTGATACGGTAACCCAGGCTAACAGAGCTGCAGGAAAAAGACCCACATGGGCTGATATTTTAAAATCAACCAAAGACAATATCTCTGGAGAGGGCCCGCATAACAATCATCTATCTTCCCTTTCCCTTTCAGTAATTCAAAATCAGATGTGCCAAAAAGAAGGAAATTTTTCCTTGCTCACGACAGAAGGCAATCAGGCTGTGACAGAAATTTCCAATACCAATGAAAAATATCACTTCTTTGGAGAGGATGGATTTGACTCCGTCAAAATAGAATCCAAAATTTTTAAATTCTCTATCAGAGACAAAAATTTGGTCCTTTTTGTAATTAAGAAAACCCAACTCCACAAAGTGGAACTCAATACTGACCTGGCTCACCAAATCATTTGGTTCATCTCCCACATCACAAATTCAGATCCGAAAAATTTAGGTAGTTAAGACGATTTGGAGATGTCACAGTTTCTATAGAAACAAACAGATCAGGCGATTACGTGGAAATTGCCAAACATAAGGGGAGCTCCATTCAGATTCCCATGGGACCTCATAAATCGAGCCTACTGAAATTTCTCAATATTTTCTCTAATTTTGCAGGGGTTCCAAAGCTTGGGCAAGATGAATCAATTTCCTTTCAATTGAGCACAATTCAATCCGAGGACCCTACGTCCATATCCAAACTGATCTTAAATTTTCAAATTGAGGAGGCATGCACCAATAACCAACATGGCTTATCTGCGGGAAAACAACCCCAGTTTACATCGATTCAGACTTACTCGGACGCCTCTGACAGTTTTGAGCACTCTGATGACTCCTTCACAGATGACTTTCTGGGACATGCAATCAAAAGTGATCGTCGTCCTCCAATTTCTTACCCCAAAGAAATTAGGAAATCAAAATTCAACAGGGGAATCTGTCACAAAGCTGATTTTGTAACCCAAGAAAATTGCTTGCCAACAGATAATTTGAACACCCAACTCAAGATTTACAGAAAGTCTCAGAAGAACAAAAAGTGTCATAGCATGAAGACTAGGTCGCAGGGTAGAGATTTCCCTTGGGAGTAGTTATTTTTGTTTCCTTTATTTTATGTACTCTTTTTTTTTCCGTATTAATGTTAATTAATTAATTAATTACGAAAATAGGGTTGGGTTAAAAGTATTTACCAAAATACTGCTGGGTTAACCATGGTCGGGGTAAGTCGCCCAACGGTTGGGCGACTTATGAGTCGCCAAACGGTTTGGCGACTTATAAGTCGCCCAACCGTTGGGCGACTTTCCCTTAAGTAAGTTCATCGCAGTGCCCCAAAACAGATCTGTGCGTAAAACATTTCCCAAAACCCCCAACCCGCAGCGACGAACGGACGAAGGACGAAGACGACCGAGCCACTTCTAACTCCGGCGAACCTCCATCTCCGGCGACCCCACTCCGGCAAACCTACATCTTCATCTTCAACACTCTTTACTCCTTATTCTAGGTAAATCCAAATCCATTTCATATAATTTTGCACTTAGGGTTTAGAATGTTAATTTTTTTTAATTTTGGGATTATGAATTGATTGTGAATGAAGTTGTTGTGAAATGTGGATATGTATGAAATGTTGAAATTTGATTTTAAATTGTTTGTAAATTGTAATGTGTATTTTGACATTTGGGCATTTGGGTATAGTTGAATGTACCTAAATTTGGGTAGATATCAAAATTTGGGTAGTTTGTTATTGAAATGTGAATTGTTTGTGAATTTGGAGTTAATGATATATTACAATTTTGGAAGCAATTTCTATTAAAAATGTGAATGTGTATAAAGTGTGTATATTGATGCCTACTCATGAATGTTGGACAATGAATTGTTATTAGAATATGGATTTCTCAAGCTTCCCACTCGTGTGTCATTGGGGAGGGAACTATTATGAGAATGGTGGGCAAATATGCCATGAAGGTGGCAGAACGAGCTTTGTCATGGTTTCTCGTGGCGCTTGCATGCTCGAGATCCTTCAAAAAATACATGCAGCCACAATGATTCATCCCGACCGTTCATTGCGGTTGAAAATGAAATTTCCCATGAACGGGGGAAAGTACATGCTTATGCCGCTCAATGATGAGCTAGCTATAACAAATATGTGGGGCATAATTCAGATGGAGGATATGTCAACGCTGGAGATATACATTGAGGAATCCTGTGACACTTATGGTACTCAATCAACATCACATGTTGTTGCATCCAGGCATGATGTCATTGCAGGGGTGAATGCACGGAAGTCGTCAAAGGTTCCTGTACTAGACATGGTTATACAGGAGGATGGCAGGTATTTGCACAACGGTGCATCATTTGTGGATGGGCAGGGAAGTGATGATGATGCAGACGAGAACATCAATGGTGAAGACATGACAGAATCTCATGAAGATGATGGTGATACTGTGACATCAACTGCCCCGTCTAGCCACTTCACAAGAATGTATGATCTCCCTGAAGGTTTTACTGATGCGTGGATGAGTGGATTAGGTGAGAAAAGGTTTACCCCCGATGGTGAGTTTGAGATCGGTCAACAGTTTGACAACAAAGAACAAGTCATCAATATGGTGAGCTTGTATTCTATCAAACGGAACCAATTCTATCGGGTGATAGAGTCCGATAAACACAAATGGGTGGCACAATGCAAAAGGAAGAATGTCATTGCCCCTGGAGAATACGTGCCACAAAGAACAAAGGCAACCTTGACACCTTCACAATTGTGCGTTATTCTGGACCTCATTCTGCTTCTTGTGTAGGCAACATCGACACTACAGATCACGTGGCCTTGACATCAGAATTCATTTGTAAAGATGTGGTTGACATTATTCGCACTGATCCTTCTCTTAAAGTGCATACTATCATCGAGATGTTGAAGGAAAAATATGGGTATACGGTATCTTACCGGAGAACATGGATGGGGAAGCAAAAGGCCATAGCACAAATATTTGGCGGTTGGGAAAAGTCATATTTCGAATTGCCCCGTTTCATGACAGCGCTCCAACATTCTAATCCAGGAACTGTTGTTCAGTGGTACCCACCCCCCAATGGTTCCACAGGTTATATGATGTTTCAAAGAGTTTTTTGGGCATTCAAGGCTTCAATATCTGGTTTTAAGCATTGTCGACCCGTACTTACTATTGATGGCACACACATGTATGGAAAGTACAAGGGCACATTGCTCGTGGCCATGGGTTGTGATGCGAACAACCAAATTTTCCCAGTCGCCTTTGCAGTTGTAGAATCCGAGAATGGAGACAGTTGGCCATGGTTTATGGCATGTATTCGGCAATTTGTGACTAACAGGGAGTTGTGTGTCATTTCAGATAGACATGGAGGTATTGTTAGGGCAATGAATGAGGTGGGAAGTAATTGGGAGGAGCCTTATGCGCATCATAGGCTATGCATCCGTCATCTTGCTTCAAATGTGCACACTCATTTCAAAGACATTCATTTAAAAAATCTATTTGTGTGGACCGCACGGCAACATCAGAAAAAAAAAATTGATGGTGGGTTCAAGAAGATAGGTGAAATGAGTAGGGATGCACGACAATTTTTGGCCAACATTCCTCCAGAAATGTGGTCGCTGCACCATGATGGCGGGTACAGATATGGTACCATCACTTCAAATCTGGCTGAGGTTTTCAATAGCGTCATGAAAAATGCTAGATATTTGCCCATTACCGCCTTGGTCCAGGTGTCTTTTTACCGGGTTAATGCGTACTTTGTGAATAGGCGTGAAACCAGTAAGTTGAGGCTCACACAAGGCCACGAGTACTCCCCATACATCACAGATTTAATTGAAAAAAATAGAGAGAAGGCAAAGCATCACATTGTCACTCCATTTGATTTAGGGCGAGGTATATTTCAGGTGGAGACCGGTTGTGGTGGCCGAACGTTGGGAAAGGGTGGGAGAAAACAAATTGTCCATCTACAACGGAAAACGTGCACTTGCAAAAAGATGGAGATATACAAGATTCCATGCTCCCATGTATTAGCCGTGTGTAGACAACGTAGTTTGTCTTATGCTCCATTTGTGGATAAGTTCTTCTCTTCTGACCAATACGCCGCCACGTATCATAGGGTGTTCAAACCGATTCCTGATCGTGATTATTGGCCCAATTACAATGGACCCGAAATCGTGCACGATCCATCCATGCTTCGGGCAAAGGGAAGACCAAAGTCGACCCGTATTAAGAATGAGATGGATGAAGGACCACGAGGAACGGTTAGATGTGGAAGATGCCACCAAACCGGCCATAATAGAGCGACATGTGCAAAGAGATCATCTAGACAAGAGGGGGGGTCCGCCGGGTATGTGTATATTTAGAGTCAATCATAATTCATGATTTCCTTGCAAGGATAATTAATAAATTCAAAAAAGGAAGTAAAAAAAAATTAATACATTATACAATTACAACTAATACAATTAGAACTAATACAAATTTTGTTTGTAGGCATGGAGGTGATAGCGGATCCTGGGCCGAGTGATCGTTCTGTCCTCACACTGCAGGCCTCACACAGGAGTGAGGATGTTTGGCTTGGCATGGATGTGCAGGTTGATAGGTGCCGCGAGCATCTGCGGGGTTTGTCCCATTTACATGTCGACCCCAGAGTCCTAGCCTATGTTCGTGCTGCAGGTTTTTTTACACTGCACAGGTTAGTGGCTACTGTGCCTTTAGATAGAGCCCTCCTCACTGCTCTACTTGAGCGTTGGAGGCAGGAGACACATTCATTTCACCTCCCTGTTGGTGAGGTCACTGTGACATTGGGAGATGTGGCTGTACTTACCGGGTTAGAGGTTGATGGGAGAGCTGTTACAGGCACTGCTTGTCGACAGTGGGTTGATGAGTGTGAGAGGTTGTTAGGCATCCGCCCCGTTCTTAGGGCTGACCTTCAGGGGTCATCTCTTAGGATGCCATGGTTGAGGGAGCACTTCCAGGCCCTTCCTCCCGACGCTGATGAGATGATCATCCAGCAGCATGCTCGTGCGTATATATTGATGATGATGGGAGCCTCCATTTTCGCTGACAAGAGCGGAAATGAGGTTCAGGTGCTACACTTGCCTTTGCTGGAGAGGTTTGATGTAGCAGCACAGTTTAGCTGGGGTAGTGCCACCCTGGCTTATCTCTACAGGCAGCTGTGTCGTGGGTGCCAGAGAGGGAGCACAGAGCTGGGGGGATTTTTGCTACTCCTCCAGATTTGGTCATGGGAGTATATCCACATAGGCCGTCCCATTATAGTTGGATATCATGGCATTGATGGACAGCCACTGCCTGATGAGCCTCCACGTCTGCTAGGACCACATCATGTACGGGGCGTGGACCCTCTTGGCCGTCGGTATGTTTTCAATCGTTTGTATTTGTGTTAGTTTTTGTTGAATGTAAATGCATTAATAAAATCCATATTATTCATATTGTAACATGAATTGTTAGGTGGCTATATGCTGGTTTATCTCGCATGTCATCCGCTACTGGCCTCGGTGTGTACAGGGATGCATTGGATCGGATGTCAGAGGACCAGGTATGGTGTGTGTATTATAACAGTAACTAGAATAGGTGTAGAATAAATACTAATTTTGTATGTTTACGAAACAGATCACATGGATGCCGTTTAGACCTGATATGTTAGCAGAGTTGCCCCCAGCTAGACGAGAGCAGACTCACATATGGCGAGCACGTGTGCCGCTGATATGTTTTGACATTGTTGAGCTTCATTTGCCTGATAGAGTCATGCGACAGTTTGGGTTTGAGCAGGTCATTCCACGTCCTATCGACACTTATGTAGAGCTGCATAAGCTGGATAGGCGTGGGAAGCATACAGAGGATTGGGCACTCAGACATGTCCGATACGTGACTATGTGGGATAGGAGAGCTGAGCTAGCTGTGGCTGGGACACCCACATATGTGCCATCAGTTTCAGGAGATTACATGGGATGGTACTACAGCATCACTCGGTTGTTTGTGTCTCCTTCGTTCAGACTCCCTACTCATCATTATCAGCCTAGCTCATTGGCATTGCATCTTACGGAGAGTATATTACTAATTAGTAAAGTAAGTCATTTTATTTATGTAATACTTGTATGTATTTCAATGTAATTGTAATTGTGTTTCGTATTGCAGACACGAGCTTTGCAGTGCATACATCAGCGGGCTACTGCCACTGTGACTGATATTCCTGATGTGGACATGTATGGACAGACTCTGACAGGCATTGCCTCGTTATGCTCAGATGTGTTGGGTCGAGTAGACTACGGACATCTTATACACATGCCCGCATCTCAGGAGATGGCATCCACGTCTAGTGCAGCCGCGGCTTCATCATCCCAGACGCAACATGAGAGAGTGGTTCTTCAACCACGACAACGCCGTAGGCGTAGACATGAGCAGCAACATCTCCATGACGAAGCTGATGATGGGAACTTGTAGTTTGTCTTTTGTATTGTAGTTTTTCTTATGCAGTAGATGTTGTAGGAACAATTTACAAGTTTTGATGTATTATCTCTTGTTAAGTATTCTATGTTGTATTGATGTGTTCGAGTATGAATATTAGATGATTATTTGTTATGGCATATATGATGATTGAACTGTGTTATACCGGTTATGATTTGAAAGTTTTTTAGCGGTGTTTATAAGGTGTTTTTTATGTTGTTGAGAGTAGGTGATTATCATGTGTTGTATCTAGTTTGTAACACTTCAAAAGGAGAAGGGAGACCTTATTTGTAGCAAACAGATCGGTCTGGATTGAATCGGGGCGAAAAACAAGCTGAATTGGTGTTTTAGGAATTAGGCACGATCGTGCCTACCCTTGTAGGCACGATCGTGCGTGGCTGGCAGTAGCTGCTCGCCTCAAACCATATTTCAGGGGAAAGTCGCCCAACGGTTGGGCGACTTATAAGTCGCCAAACCGTTTGGCGACTTATAAGTCGCCCAACCGTTGGGCGACTTTCTCCTGACCATGGTTACGGCCAGCAGTATTTTGGTAAATACTTTTTTTCCAGCATTATTTCCGTAATTAATTAATTAATTAACATTAATACGGAAAAAAACTCCTCTTTTCCTTTCTTGTTTTGTACTGCTTTTTTCATTCAATAAAATTCTATTTTCTAAAAAAAAATTGTGCTAGCCCACTACTATTTAATTACAGGGCCTAAACCCCTTTTATTGTACAACTTTAAAAGACTAATATTATTCTTATTACTAGTACTATCTAGGTCCCTATCGGCCTCCTCACACGCAAACACTCTTTGAGACATATATTTGTTTCACCAAAGTGGTATAAAAGTGAGTTCGATAAAATAATTGAAGAAAAAACAAATTGTGATGAAGTTTACCACCAAACATTTCAAGATCTGGCTTTTAAGGAAATGAAAATATGTCTGGTTGACATTAAGGATTGCAATGAATGGATTGATGAGGTAGCTTGGGGAAATGAAATTGAAAATTGGGATGCTATGGTAGAAGCATTTGGCGTCAATGAAGCAACTCACAACACTAGAGCCTTATTTGGTGTGAGACAGCATGGAGCTTTTTATTCATTTTAGCTGAGGCGTGAGGCGGCACGCACCTCTTCGAACTGGGTCATTCAACTTTGCTAAACTGTATTTGTAATACTTCTACATGATACCCCCTTTTAAAAAACAAATGATGATATTACAAAACATCTTGCAAGTCATTAAACAAGCATAATAAACACCAGAGTCAGTCACAATAGAAAGAAAATAAATATTTAAATATTAGCAAGAGGCATAGTATTAACTCATGAGGAAAATACACATGCAAAAGCAGAAGAATATATACTAACAGAGTAAGAGAAAAGGAAAAGATTGGAAGAATGATTTATTGATAAAGAAGAAGAGATTGAGCTGAGAAATGCATGACCCCTTATTTAAATATTACACAGAAGAGAATTACATAACCACAAAACACTTTGATAGTCGCATGACACTTACGACGAAGCCCAATCCCCAAATTGGATGAGGTGTTTGAATCTTTCTTTCCCTATCCTCCCTGCCTCTTCTCCCCACTCTCAAGTCGTCTAATATGTGCTTCACTCGATCTTCTGCGCACATGACCAAACCACCGCAATCGATACTCCTGCATTTTATCTTCTATAGGTGCTACTCCCCTTTTGTCTGATTATCTCATTTCTCAAGCGGTCTTTTCTGGTATGTCCACACATTCAACGCAACATATGCATCTTTGTCACACTCATCTTTTGAATGTGACATTGTTTCATCACTCAATATTCTACGCCATACATTAATGCATGCACAATTGTTGTCCGGTAAAATTTTACCCTTCAGCCTAGTCGGCATACCTCGATGCACTCTTCCATTTCATCCGCTCTGCTCTGATTCTATGGGATACATCTCCATCTGATACACCTCCTTCTAAATTATGGAGCCCAAGTAAAGGAACATATCACACATTACTACATTAGTATCTCCTCGCCATCAAGAGTAATCCCACAAAAACAACAACAATAGGGACTATATCATGTTTTCCAACTTCAGCCACTTCTAAATTGTTGACTGTTGGGTCTTTGGATGATAGGAGCTCTGGGGATAAGTATTTTGGCAGAGTATATGCTCGAACGAGTAAATGAAGTTGTAGTATTAGTTATAGTTGTTAATAGCTAATAACTACTTTCTGTTAGCCAGAAATACTATAAATAGAAATAAACTGGGAATAATTGGCAGGCTGTTAGACGCATTGTCTGGACTGGGAAAGTTGGAGTATTATCTCCTCTTTTGGGACTCTTGTATACGACTCCTCTACATCAATAAACTGTTGATATTGTTCTTGTTCTTGATTGTGTTGATTTGTTAGTTTTCTCTGATTGAAAGCTTTGTTCGGTTACTGTGCTACCCTATCAGTGGTATCAGAGCTTGTTGATCTTTGTGGATGGTCTTGACATGGACAAAGATGGATTTACGGATGAATGAACTGGAGAATAACCAAAATCGGATGGATGAATGGATAGAAAGGAATTAGGAACAAACGGCGGCAATCTTGACAACGATGCAGGCGATGCAGGTTACTCTTGCGCGATTGGATAATCGACGCAAAAGCCAATCGCGAAGCGATTCGCATGCCTCTCCTGAATCGCATCGCACATCTCACCATTACTCTACGAAGCACTCAGCAAGTTCGGATGAATCGGAAGAGGATTCCGATGATTCATCTACCAGTCGCAATCATCATCGCAAGCGGGAACATGGAAATTATCATCAGACTGGGAGAAAGGTAGATTTACCTTTATTCAATGGTGATGATACTTACGGATGGCTAGTCAGGATCGATAGGTATTTCCGACTCAATAACATAGCAGAAGATGACAAAATTGAAGTGGCAGTGATAGCTATGGAAGATAAAGCTCTCAGTTGGTGATGAAGAAAGCCTTAACCAGACGTTTCCAACCGGAGATGGTTCAGAATCCTTTGGGTCCCTTATTGAGTCTGAAACATAAGAATACAATTAAAGAATACAGAGAGCAATTTGAAATGGCCATTGCTTCTCAAGAATATCTGGATAGAAAGGTGATGAAAGGTATGTTTCTAAATGGACTGAAGAAAGATATTCGTGCTGAACTAAAACTGTATAAAACTAAAGATCTAGCTGATATCATGGATACTGCATTGTTGATAGAAGATAAAAACTATGAAGTTATAGCCAGGAGGAATAAGGAAGAAGGGAAGAGGAGTTGGAAAAATAATCAAAGGGATTCACTTATACTAAGTGGGGAGATGGCAGTAGAGGGAATCTGAACCTGTAGAAAATGTTATATTATTGTAGAAAATGTTACAAGATTTAATTTGGTGTACATACTTAGCCGAATAGATTAGAACATGTGCTGTTATTTAGAGATAAGATCGTAGTAATCAAGATCCTATTTTTTAGGATCTAAATTAGCTGATTAGTTGCTTGTACATCTGTATAAATATTCTGGCTGATTGGCACATTCAATCAAGGAAGTTTTATTCCTAAAA